AAATAATATGTTAGTGGAATTGTTTTTAACATTTCATTTTACACTTGGCACCCCATAGTTTCTGAATAATTTTAATGATAAATAGATCCACTGTGATGTGGCCCCTTTAGAGAAKTGAGAGGCCGCTGATGGCTGAGGCAGAGCAATAATGTTCACACTAAATGAAATAACGCGCTTCAGTTTGGAGCTCTCATCTAATATTTTGATTCGTAAACACATAAAATTACATGACGTCATTGAGAGATCATGAAAATAAAGTTGTAAATATTTAAGGAGCGGGGAAGTTCTCATCACTGTGGTCCAATCTGGAGGTTTTTGGAGGAAGTCTGAGCTGATATTTTATTTTGAGAGAAAAATCTGAACTCGAGTTAAACCCGGACATTTGGACTGAAAAGAAAGTCCGAACTGATTCGCTGCACCTGCTGAAAACTGCGCGGGTTTTAAAATGAGAAAGGCTTCATTTAACTATTTAAAAATAAAATTTGTTCGGTGTGACAACACAAGAATAACACTTTTATTTATTTAAAAATAAAACTCATACAGAAAGCCTGCAGCGCTTTAAATAAACTGCGCTGGGGGGTTATTGGATGAAAATTATGGATAAATAATTGACAAAAACGTCTGCTTGTTAAAATAATTTGCACGTTTTATTTAACAAATAAATCCCATGCTTTTAACTGTAATTAACATTCCAATTCAGCGTGACTGACATGATTTTTTTCCCAATAATTATGCTACTTTAAGTTCGTATTTGTTTGTCTTTTTGCCATCACGGTGCCTGTGGAAGGCCTGAGGCACCTTCGGGACCATTTCTTCCTTTGGCCCCGCAGAGAGAAGGGCCACCCCGGGGCCCCCGCGCTGTCAGCAGTCAGCTTCCTCTCCTTCCTTCTCCGGGACTCAGACTAATATTTAGACAGGATCGAGTTTTACGCGCGCGGCGCGCCGCAGCATCAGCCACGGGACATGAAGSTGAAATGGTTGATTTTATGATTGCAGGAGGAAGCTGTGATTTATGTTCTGCTACATGATGGGAGTTTAATTAATAATTTTATCACCGTGGCTGTGATACGGAGAAGATTGTAAAAAAAAAAAAAAAGAAAAGAAAAAAAGAAGTTCAGCCTGGGCCAGAGGAAACCCCTCCGGGGACATCTCAGAAATGCTGTTTTATTGCGCGTCCTGGAGGASAGGAGAGTCGACTGAGTCTCGTTTCTGTTTACTAATAACAGAAAAAAGTCAGCCACTGAGCCCTGACGTTACATCATCTGCGCCATAATGAAGCGCGGAGGTTCTGGCTCCGAGATTTATCATGTAACCACAACAGGACGCGCAGGACCACACAGGCCTCGTGCTCATGAGGAACAGATGCCAGAGATTAAAATAATAATAATAAAACAAGATAGCAGGGAAACTGGAAATATCTATCCTGCRTTGTGACTGAATTAAAGTCAGAGTSCCAATGAAGCTTTTCGAGGAAAACTGGACTTATGGTGCGTAAAAGCGCGTGCCAAAATGTTAGGGGAGGTGTTGGATTTCTGTTTGTCAGGAATAATCATGACTCACTGCGTCATGTGCAAACAAAAATTTTGATTTAAATGAATAAATAACAAATAATGGTATTAATA